ACTCCTCAGAAGGAAGGTTGGGCAATGTACTTCCGTAGTGATACCACCTTGGAAACCCCAGGAGGGGTTGCAGTGAGTTGGGTCTGACTGGACGGCAGTGCATTTGGTTTTTTTCGGTAGTGACTAATGATGTTGAACATCTTTTCATGTGCTTATTTACCATTGATATATTTTCTTTGGTGAAATGTTTTTTTTAAAATCTTGCCAATTATAAATTGGGTTGTTTTTTTCTTATTTTTCAGTTTGGATAGTTCTTTTTATATTATGGATATAAGTTCCCTATTTGTAAAATGAGTGTAATAATATACATGCCTTATAGAATTGTTGAGATGAAACGAGTCAAAATATTATGTTAAGCCATAAGAATTTGCTGATATCGGACAATTTTTTACCTATACAGAGGACAATTTTATATAGTTTAACTAATGTGCAAAATATCCCTTGTAGTGTAGAGGGTATGTACTTTAGAAATAATAGCTGTAGCTATCATCATCATTAACTACTGCTGCTGTTCTTGCTGTTGTTCATTGTCATTGAGAGGGTCACAGCAACCTCATGTACAACAGAACGAAACCCTGCCCGGCCCTGCGCCAGCCTCACAATCATTGCTATGCTTAAGCCCATTGTTGCAGCCACTGTGTCAATCCATCTAATTGAGGGTTTTCCCATTTTTCATTGACCCTCTACTTTACCAAGCATGATATCCTTCTTTAGGGACTGGTTCCTCCTGATAATGTGACCAAAGAAATGACGTCTGACCATTCTCACTTCTAGGAACATTCTGGTTGTATTTCTTCCGAGACAGATTTGTTCATTCTTCTGACAGTCCATGGTGTATTCAGTATTCTTTGCCAACACCTTAACTCAAAAGCTTTGGTTCTTCTGTTGTCGTCCTTATACATTGTCCAGCTTTCACATTCACATAAGGTTATTGGAAAGACAGTGGCTTGGGTCAGGTGCACCTTAGTCTTCAAGTGACATCTTTGCTCTTTAACATTTTAAGGAAGTCTTTTGTAGCAGATTTGCCCAATGCAATACATGTTTGATTTCTTGACTGCTGCTTCCATGGGCCTTGATTGTGGATCAAATAAAATGAAATCTTTGACAACTTCAATATTTTCTCCATTTATGGTGATGTTGCTTATTGGTCCAGTTGTAGGGATTTTTGTTTCCTTTATTCTGAGGTGTAATCCATACTGAAAACAGTAGTCTTTGATTTTCTTCAGTAAGTGCTTCAAGTCTTCTTCACTTTCAACAAGCAAGGTTATGTCATCTGCACATCACAGGTTGTTAATAAGTCCTGATGCTCTGGTCATACAATGATTCAGACAGACATTTGACCGCTAACTAAGAGTTCAGCAGTGTGAACCCACCAGCCTGTCTGTGGAAGAAAGATGTGGCAGTCTGCTTCCATAAAGATTTACAGCCTTAGAAACCCTAAGGGCAAGTTCTACTCTGTCCTATAGGGTCACTATGAGTTGGAATCAACTTGATGGTGGTGGATTGCTGTTGTTAATATACTACTATTAGTGTTGAGGACAATGACTCCTGAGGCTGCTGTTTCATGCTCCCTGAGTCCTCTGATCAGTCAACCAAAGTCCACGAAGTCCTTCCTACATGCCAAGCTTCTTGCTAAGTATACAAAGTGTAATAAAACCCAACCTTTGTTCTTGTGGAGCAAAAGTGCCACCTGCTGTAATAGGTGTGTGTGCAAGGTGCAATGCAGGAAGCTTGGTGGGAAGGAGGAGATTGGCAGGACTTCCCAGATAAGGCCTATTACATGGGTTTGGGATGGGAGAATATGCCAAGTTATAGCTTTTACAAAGGCTTGGAAGGGGGGATGAGCAAGCTTCAGGGAGAACCTGAGGTCTGACTCTGGGTATGGGGATGAGAAGCAGCCCATGGTGGCCTAGAGAAGGTTCATCAATAACCCCTACCTCATCCTTCCATAGGTCACCCTAATTTGCAGGATATCCTTGGAGACTACTCCATCTACCTCTGCCATGGCCTCAAGAACCATTATCATTGACCATGGGTCTGGCTTTCTGAAGGCTGGTTTGTCAGGTTGGAATGAACCCCAGATGGTTTTCCCGAGCATCGTAAACTACATACCATGCCAGGAGAACCCTGGTCCCAGCTACGCCCGGAGACGCGTGAGTCTGGGCATCGACATCTTCCGTCCAGACACCTTCAGCTACCCCATAGAGCGTGGCCGTGTGCTCAATTGGGAAGGCGTGGAGCACATCTGGTCATTTATCCTGGAGAAGCACAGACAGGAGCATGAAGACTCTCCAGTGTTGATCACAGAGAGCCCCCTAAGGGAGCCTTCAGACCGTCAGAAGACCCTGGAGGTAAGGCCTTCTCTTGCTGTCATTGGGGCTGGGACAAGGCTGGACTGGGAACATTGTATCCAGACATAACTGGGAAATGGGAACTCTGCTTCTTAAAGCATATGTCCAACAATATTTATCAGGTACCTATTGTGTGGCCAGGGAGCTCTGATGGTGTAGTGGTTAAAGCATTTGTCTGCTAACCAAAAAGTCAGTGGTTCAAACCCCCCAGCCACTCTTTGGAGGAGAGATGAGGAAGTCTGCTTCTGTAAAGATTTACAGCCTTGGAAATCCAATGGGGGTCACTGTGAGTTAGAAGTGATGGCAGTGAATTTGGTTGTTTTTTGAGTGTGTGCACAGCTCCCTGGGTGGCACAAGTGGTTTGTGATTGGCTACTAAACTAAAGTTAGGTGGTTCAAACCCACCCAGTGGGACCACAAAAGAAAGACCTGGGTATGTGCTTCTGTAAAGATTACAACCAAGAAAACCCTGTGGAGTTCTACTCTGTAATACAAGGATTGCCATGAGTTGAAATTGACTTGACAGCAGCCATTCTTTCTTTCCTTTTTTAGTGTGTGCCCAGCCCAGTGCTAAGCAAAAAGGGCTCATAGACGATCCTCCTACAGACAGAGATCAAAAACCCACTTCTATCGAGTCAGTTCAGACTCATAGTGACCCCCACTGGGTTTCCAAGGCTGTAAATCTTTATGGAAGTAGATGCCTCATCTTCCTCCTGCAGAGCAGCTGGTGGGTTTGAACCATTGACCTTCTGGTTAGCAGCCAAGTGCCTTACCCACTACGCCACCAGAGGTCCTTACAGATGGAGACACAGAAATTAAAATACTCTGTGGGTAGGACACAAGAGAGGAGATACCAGATAGGCATTTGTGGGTGCCATAAAGGTCCACAGACAATATTCTAGCCCTCACAGAAGTTACATTCAGACCATGAATAAGGTAACAAAAATGAATTTCAGATGACCATTAAGTGTTCTGGAAACAAAGTAATATGTATGATCACTGACCAGTGGGGAGAAGAGGAGCCCCTTTGAAAGGTGGTCAAGGAGGGCTTCTCTGAGAAGGTGACTTCAGCCAGTGAGGCTGGAGCCTAGCAAGTGGGAGGGGGTGACAGGAGACAAGTAGCATGGTGAGGTCAGCAAAGGCTAGACTGAGCAGGCTTGTTAGGCTTGGGAGGTGTTTTGGTTACTTAGTGCTGCTCTGACCAGAATATACCACAAATGGGATGGCCTTAACAAACAGGAGTTTATTCTCTCACAGTTTGGAGGCTTTAACTCCAAGTTCAAATTGCCAGGCTTTAGGGGCTGGGTGAAAGCCCCTCAACCTTGGGCTTCAGCTCTGCCTCTTGCTCCTGGACCACTGAGCTAGAGGCATCTCTTCACTCAGAGGCTACTGGCTGCTGAGGCTAACAACTACAAGGTCAACAAATAAAATGGCACAGCCCCAATGTTACCAAACCACATGGCAGGCCATTAATTCAAGTCCATTATAAGTCCCAAGGTCGGCAGAGCATGGGAGACTGCTGAACAATGACACGGCTACATGCAGGGTTCAAGCATGCCATAAGCTGGAGACCATTCCCAAAGCTATTTCTTTTTTTTTTATTATTATTATTTATTGTGATATGGGTGAAGATTTACAGAGCAAATTCGCTTTCCATACAGCAGTTCATATATACTTTGTTGCATGTCATTGACCACAGTTTACCACAATACAACAGCTCCCCTCCCACTTCCTCCCCATAGTTACCTCTTCCCACTGTCCATCCCTCCATACTCTCCTGCCCCCTGATCTATCTCCCTGTGCATAAGCAGCCCTTCCTTCTCCCATGATTGTTCTCTCCAGGGC